GGGGGGAGTGTCAGCGCTGACCACGTGCAAGACCAATGCCATGTGGTGTAGAGAACTGATGATCGGAACTCCGGAACTACCCTCGTGATATGCCACATGTTGTAGTTATTTGCTTCGTTGGCCAATTTGATACGCGAGTGGACATCTGACGCCGTTTTACGATGCATTGCGCAATTTTTAAAACGATGGCTGAGGCCCTGGGCATGAGCCGAGCGGGGGGCCACGGTCGATCGATAGGCTCGCGAGCACGGCCAGGGGGCAGGCGAGGCGGTGTCGGTTCGGCACTCCGCCGACTATCGTGGCTCCGCAGTCTCGTGGTGTACTGTGCGAAGCCCGGTTAGCTCAGTCGGTAGAGCGTGGGACTTTTAATCCTAAGGTCGTGGGTTCGACCCCCACATCGGGCGAATATTTTGGCTCCAGTGTGAGGCAACAAACGAGTTCGTGATATGATATCTGTTCAATATAGCCATCTCTCTGGTCATTTGGACGGAAAGCGGGAGGTTGAAAGAATAACGAACATAATTGATTGATTGATAGCTTTATGAACATTTTATGTAATTACAAAAAAAAAACTTTTATTACAATGCCATACAGCAGTCTAATAGTAATTTTAACTAAAATGAGATGTAGAAGATGTAAAACTTTCACACCAAACAAAAACAAAAAAAATGAAAATAATGGTAACACAGATATTCAGTCCACTTTAATTTTGTGTGGCAATGAGGAGTCAGTTAAGAAGGTACAAAAAAGAAAAACAAAAGGTTGGAGATTGAGCAACACAATGCCCTGCACTAAAGCAATGCAAATTAATTGGATTTCCATAACTATCTTACTGAACAAGGTGACTGTGTGCTGTGTTCCCCGATAATGAAGGAGACCACACCTTTCACGTACCATGCTTTGTCCAATTAGTACCAATGAGTATTTGGTTGAACTGAGTAGTTTGGCCATACAAGGAAATCCAACACTCCACACTGCCTGAACCTCATTGGTCACATGCTTAATGTCTACAGTTGTACAAATAGATAATTAAATACAAATTTGTTACAGTAATACAATAAAAAAATGAGCTAAAAGAACTACGATTTCACGTGGACTGATTTCGCAAGACCTCTACTCTCCATTCTTAACACACATCCTCCTAGCCACAAAGATTTTTTTAAAAAGGCTCCTTTGAACCATAAGTGAAAATTTCCTTAACTTTTAGTAATCCTTCATTTGCTGCAACCAGCAATATTATAAATATTATTATAAAGCATCAATTTACAGTACTTATAGAGAAATTAGGAAAAATGTAACATGGAAATGATGAGTGGACTATCAAGTAGGTACACTCATAATATTCAAATACTGCTCTTTGTTCACATGAACATTTGTACAAGTTATTCTCATACTTGAAAACAAATGTGTCATGATGCAAATACTATCAAAATCAAACATCAATGATTGATTTGCTTACAGAAACTTTCAATTAAGTATGATTAACTTCATTTAAGATCATTTTCAGGGCACACTAAGATAGTGAGAAGTAATGATACTGCTAACCACTAAAGAGAAAATCAATCGTCACAGCACTTTTGATTAACTAACATTCAGATATTGTATGAGCAAATTAATATAAAGGAAAGGGAACATGCATGAACATAAAATGCAAGAAAATGCCTTCTATCAAGAGTAAGGCTTTGGCTTTCTTGCTTGCTCCTCAACTTACTTGTTTAACTTTTAATTAACAAAGGCCTCTGATTCTGTGCTTCTTAACACAAAGATTGAGTAAGAATTTCATAACAGCATGTTTCCTCTCCAAACGAGCCAGTGCAAAAAAACCACAGCAAGCAATCAATATCATGCTTGGCAAATATTACTTCATAACATTTAAAATAAAATTTGAATCAAGGACTATTAAATTTCAATTACTTAAAACATTCAAAGCACTAGAAGAGACATCCCTGTAAATCTTAGAGTGCTTTAAGTTACAAGTCTTGCCAAGCATGATCTCAAGAACAAACATGCAGCTAGTGCTTGGATATTAGATCAAACACAACACAGGATAGTGAATCATTACAAATGATGCCAAGATATACAAAAAGGAACTTTCTTTATTATTTATCAGACTGAAATAATGACTGGCTTACTGTGATCAGGCTTGGGTTTCCAAATGAGCACACTAGTGCAAAAAAAGAAGAGACAAAACCCTCTAAACTTGGTCACAGAAGTTGCTCAACACGTTTTTTTAAGACTGAAAAGCAGTTACTTAACACATAATTATCAGTACTGTTCCCAAACAAGGGACATTTTTTCTGAGTTAGCATACTTGATATTTAAATAATTATATCATGTACATTCATGTAACATAATTTTGCAAGCACTCATGTCCTCTATTACACAAATTACAAGCAGAATCACACATACTTTATACTGTTGAGAAATGGAGAAGTAAGGTAATGATGCAATAATTGAATAGGAAAGAAAAGCAGTGAGGCGCAAAGAAAGGAGTTCAAACTTCAATCATCGTATACATTAACTCATAGGCTTCCACAATCACACACAAGCAAGAGCACAAATCTACATTTCGATTAGATTAAATGCTCGTACATACAAAACAAACTAACACCTTTTCACACAATCATAAATACATACATACTGCATTGGCCCAGATGCAAGACAGCTTCCATATTAGAACATAACAGCTCATAATCACCAACTAATTACAGAATAAAATCATAGAAACTTAAAAATTAACAGAAAAATTACACAACAGTATTAAAACAGCAACAAAGTAAGGTTGATGGGGTATCAATGCATGATTTTTTAAGTCTAAATTATAGCCATTAACCACAACTTAACTCTGTGATGTTAAATTAGCTGACAGATCACAATATATGATAAGTATAACAAAAACTTCATAATATCTGTGTATACTGTGCCAACAATTAGGAATAGCAAGTATACATCATTTTCAAAGAGTCAAACTTCATCTAATGGTCAAGCCAAATCACCAATCTACTTAATAATTAAAATAGCTAGGGTTTGTCATTTTAATGACACCAATGCTCAATTAAACTAAGCAGGTTTTACCTAACAATTACTCTGTCTCGCACTTGGGCCAATCCTGTGTGTACAAACACACTATCACTCACTCATCCATTCACTCATGGTTTTAAATTCTCCAATTTGGGAGCCTCCAACGTACTTGTAGTTTTGCAAACAAGAAGTTAGAGAGAAATGAAAACAAGGTGTTCTTTTCCTAAAACAAGGCCATCATTAGGCTACATACAAAATGTAACAAAACTAACAACCTATTTACAATCACTTCTCTGACAGGTATACAAAATAAATTTATGAGAAGAATGATGGAGGAAAACAATAGATAGGGAGGGAAACATAACAGAAAATAAGTAGCGAGAATACAGCAAGACAAGTTTGTCTGAATCACAAGACATAACACAACAGTACAGTTAAATATGCACCACTCTTTTGCTGCTTAAAAAATATTCATCCTCACATTTAAATTAGGTCTTAACTTAACAATTGCATCGATTGGATTCTGAATATACAGTCACAGGTTTTACCAAATTTCCTAAAGCAAGAAAAAATGGGAAGAGGAGTAAATAAATAATAAAATTCAACCTAGCTTGTGTAGGCCTCACATATAGACCTAACAACAATAACAACAACAACAACATTAGATCAGCTGGCTTGTACCAAATGCTGTCTTAAACAGAAATAAAACAATTTTCTGTTCAAGCAGCTTCTTCCACAATTTTATAAAAGAAAAATAAGCAAAAGGGGAAGAAGTAGGGGACATTAATAGACAAGATAGATAGGTAATCAATTTAGACAATCTGGGGAGTACTTAGATACTTTCAATGAAAACCTTTTATGTGTGTTTCACGACAATGACTCCAGGTCGCTGTTGTTGCTGTAGTGCTGTTCTCTGGTATGAGAACGGGTCAAGTTTCATCTGCAAAGAAAGAAAAAAAATGAATCATTAGGCATTTTAAAAACATATATAAATTGAGAAATTGAGTCACATTTAAAGAATGACTTTTTTACCTTTAGGATTCTTGGGTCTCCACATTGCTGTGGCAAAGCTCTTGAACTTGTGGTGAGTGCAAGAGGCATTTCCTGAGCATCATTTTCAAGACAGCCCTGCAATCTCTCATGGAGAATTTCTTGAGACGAAGGCAGTTCAGTGGGTAAAGGAGCAACTGGTGTGGGCTGTATTGTTTGTCTGTGCGGTGATGGATCATCACTAAACAGGTGGTCACCCTCCAGATGTCTTATTGCCTCAACAATAGTTTCGAGGTTTTGCCTGGATGTGTTGATATACAACCTACAAATAATTAAATAAACAATTACACTTATAGCCTCATGGGATTTTTTTTTTTACCAATTGGTCTATAAGAATAAATGAGAGAAATGAAGCTTTACCTGGCCTGAGAGTTCTCATCGGTGACAGAAGATGGTGAAGGCAATCTTTCAACTTCAACTTTGGGTTCTGCCTTGATTGCCGCCTCGAGGACAGTAGGAAGACGAGGTTCAAGAGCAGGTAAAACAGTTTCCAACAGTGTTGTTTGGACAGGCGACGGACAAGGAGATGCAGACACAGGCATTGCCAATGGAGGCAGTGGAGGGCCCTCAGGTTCTGATGTAAACATGATTGTAGGCGCTGCCACTATCGCTGACGGCTAAAAAGTAATTAACATCAAATGAGGTTCAGCTCTACAATAATTAAACAATACTTAAAAATAAGAATAACTGAGAAAAACTTACTTGGATTGCAGGTAAACCATCAACTTCATCTTTGAAAAGTCCTCTGTTGCTGTGGGTGGAACACTGTGATTCCCTACGAGGTGGAGGTCCATCCCTCTCAGAAATCTGTAATATGATATTGTAAAAACATTAATATAGAAAGAACAAAACAAAAATTTCAAAAATGGTTATGTTATCTTGCTTTCTGTTAGTTTAAAATTTCTCATAACTCACCGGTGGATGCAGAACAGTGTGAGGGAGCTCAGCTTCTTGTTTTAAGTCAGGGTACAAATCCTCTTCAAGAGGTGGATCCTCAGGCCAGGAAGCAACCTATTAATAAAGTAAGCGTCATTAGGAATTGTCATCTCCGATTGATTTCTTTTTTTAATTTCATGATTATTTGTAACAACATCATGGGCACAGTTTTATCATACAAACCTCATGTTGATATTGCAGTTGAGCACGATCAGGGTACAGTTGACTTTCCAGAGATTTGACTTGATCCTCCAGCAAAAGTCTAATGCGTCTCTCACGCTCCAGGTGTTGACGCAAATCAATCAATTCACGTCGAAGCAATTCTGAAGCACTGTCCTGCTCAGCCGAGGGGACTGTAGTGCCTCCAGTGGCACTCATGCTCACAGGTTCTGGTGACATGCTTCCAATTCCTTCATCTGAAGATTCACTTATAGGAGCAGGAACAACCGTGACAGGACCTAATAGAAAACAGACCCACAATAACAATTTTAGAATACAATTCAAATTAAGATATGAAAGAGGGAACATATAATAATTTGACAGCTACAGTACCTGAATCTAACTTCCGCTTCTTTGAGGTAGTGGACGCCTCTCCTTCATGCTGATTTATGATTCTCTTCAGCTGACAATTCTGTGAAAGAAGGCGCGTTTTTTCCTGCTCCAAAGTATAGATGTATTCCGCTGTTTGCTGCAGGATAGCAGCCTGTAACAATAAAAACCAAAATAATTAATTAAGTTAAATATGTTGTAGCGAAATAATTACTAACTACAGACAGACAGTTTCCTCCAAGCAAAGTGGAGAGAGATTGGTATTATCTCTTACATCTCAATATCAGGGCAAAGCAGGTCTCATTGCTGTTTCATCATTGCTTAAATTGTAATGCCAGTATCGTAGAGGGCTTTCCCTCTTCCCCTCCACCAGCTCCACATAAAGGGAAGAGAAGAGGGTAGGGGCAGAGAGAGGGGGTGGGTGGGGGGATCAGGAACAAGGCTCGGACCAAGCCCCACCAAAGGCGGGTCTCTCGTCTCGTCTTTGTCTGAAGCGCAAAGCAGAGGCAAGCCACGCCTGGCCGGGGCAGGCCACGCCGGCACCACCAAGCAGCTGTGCATGGTCGGCCATCGCCGCCATCGCGCTGCTAGCGTCCAGAGGCCCCGACAGCCGGCCGGCCGGCGAGCTGCTTGCCCCCCACCACCAACCACCCTGCCGGCCAAGGTCTCTCCCCCCCCCCTCTCCCCTCGGTCCCTTTCTTGGAGCCCGCCTTGTAGGCAGCCCACCCGACAGGACCAGCAAGCACCACGGACCTGTCCAGACTTGCCGAGACTTGCCCGCGCGCACTCCCGCCCAGATTTACTTTCCGCGTCCTCATTTTCCCCGAATAGCCTGAGAATAATTTTGGCGGGCAAAGGCGGGCGTTCAGCCTCCAGAGGGCCGCTCGTTCGCGGGGTAAAACAGCCCCTGGAGGAGAGCGACTCCAAAGGGGGACACAAGACGCCGAGGGCAACGCGGGTAACAGCTGAGCTGGGCCCGGCCAGCGCCCAGCAGCAGCTCGGCGCGGCCGCGGCCAGCGTGGAGCGTTGCCCGCGCTCATTCAGGCCCCCCACAGGCCGCCCCGCCCCGCCACGCCGCGCCCCGAGTCGAGGCCCCTCCGAGGCCCCGCGAAGGCCCACGAGGAATGCAGTGTGCCCCCTCCCCTCCTCTCTTTCTCTCCGCCGAGCCGCAGTTGAAGGTTAGCGCGGCCAACCAACAACCCGGCGCGGCGCGGGCGCGGCGGCGTGGTCCGACGGAGTTATTTATAACCCGGAGAGCTCCCCGCCCCGCCACGCCGCGCCCCTCCCAGCCACTCACTCCTTTCCTCTGCGGTGGTTTGAACCGCGCCGCGCTCGCTCGCTACGCCCTGCCATCCGGCATCCGGGATGAGGCGGGGCGACGAGGCTTGGCGGGGCGGGTGCGGCGGGGAAGTGCAAGAGCCCTTGCACCACGCCGCGCCACCGCGCCAGGCCCTGCAGGCTCGGGTTCACACGACTCCGAGCTGCGCTGCGGCTGCACGGCCCGGCTGAGGCAGGTCAGGGAACATGCGCGCGCGGGCGTGGCGTCGCCAATCGCCTGAGCCGCGTCGCGAACATGATGGTGATTAGATTCAAGCGCCCCGCTAGACGAGGCCGACTCTGTGTATGCCGCGCCGGGGCAGCGGGGGGCCACGGTGCGAGCGATTGGAAAACAAAAGACCGGCGCGAAACGATGGGGGCGAGGGTCGGACTCTGGTGCCGCCGCCATACCACCCCCGTCCGCGGCACGTCGCCGGTGTCATCCTGGACGGCACGGCGCGTCGTCGCACCGCGTCGCGCTCCAGCACGGCTAGTGGCATGACCGGGCTGGGCCGGCCGGCGCGGCTCGCCACGGCCCGGGGGCCCAGACCCCGGAGCGGCAGCCTCGGCGGCAGCGGCTCGCCACGGCCAGGCTCCGCCAGGTGAAGGAACCAACGTCCTTCGACTTGTCCTCGCGCCGCCGTGGGTCGGGCGTGGCGCGGCGTGGCGGGCGCACTCAGCCGGGAACAGCGGCAGCCGCGGCGGCATGGCCGGCCCCTCCCTCGGTGCGCCCCGCTCGCTCACCAGCCGGGGCTCGCCGGCCGCGAGAAGCCGACCGGAATGAAAATCACGCCTTATATGCATCATTTTCCCCTTAAATACCGCGCTAATTGCCATTAACGAGTTGCACCGCCGCCATTATCGCCACATGCCCGGCCGTGTCGAACGGCCACGGCCCACAGCACCCCGCCCCACCCCGCCGGCTGCAGCTCAAGGGCCAGCCTGGCAGCAGCGCAGGCGGGCTTCCCCGGCATTCCCCCGGCAAGAGACGCGGCCCTCAAAGATACAGAATGAAAACAAAATGGAAACGCGCCGATCACCGCCGAGCGTCCACAAAATCAAAGCGACGCTCTCGCCGCTCCTCCCCTGCGAAGGGGGGCGGGGCGATGCGCGGCTGGGAGGGCTGGGCTCCTGGGGCTCCGCTGGGGAGGGCGTCCCGTCTGGGCCGCATTGATCGGCGCCGCGCCGCGTTGTGCCGGGGCCGCGCAGGCAGGGGCCGCGCACCACGCCGCGGGGCCAACGCCAGGGCGGCCGGGGCGTGGCGCACATCCCCGGCGGGCAGCAGCAGCAGCGCGCGGAGCGGCGCGGAGCGGGAGCGCGGCACCCAGCCGTTCCAGGGCAACAGGTACACAGCCGACTCCCTTTAATTCCAGAGCCACAGGCCCTCGCCGGCGGCCCTGGTGCCCGGCACCACACAACAGATGGGTAATTAGCAAAGGCTCGCCCCCTTTTTACTCCAAAATAAAATGAGAGAGGCGTCGAACCCGCGGCGGCGGCCTGGCCACCAGCGGCAGCGGTCCGGCCGGCCGCGTCGCCTCGCCGTGCAGTGGCATTGGCGTGCCCGGTGCCCGCCGGTGCCCCTCGCCGCGCCGGCCGCCACTCCTCGCTGCCTGGAATGCAGCTGCAATGCAAAAAGTAAAGACGGCGGCGGCGCAACAAGCCTTGCTCGGCAGCCAGCCGGCGTGCTCGGCGTGCTTGGGCCTGGTCGGTCCGGTCCCTCCGCTCAGCCGCACACCGCGGGACGGGCCCGGGCCGCGTAGTTGTAGTGTAGTACGTAGTAGAGGTGGCCGCCACGCCCCGCCACGTCGGGCCGCGGGGGCCGGGCCACGAACTGCGCAGTACAGTCGTCACGACCACTCCCGCCTCGGGGCGCCAGCGCCCGCCTCCCGGGCGGCGTCAGGCTGATGGGAGTCCTGACGTTGGCAAAACGCACAGCGCCATGTCGGGGAAAGGAAGCGATGCGTCCGTCCCTCCCAGCGCCTGCTGCGCCGCCTGCTTGGCACAGCCGTGGTGGTGCACTCGCCTCGCAGCAAGCAAACGCGCACGCGGGGCCAGCGCACCGAGTTTTACTCGGAGGGTTTCGCAGGTTGGCAACGCTGGTGGTGGCGTGGTGAAGGCGGGACGCCCGAGCAGGCGGCCAGGACAGGCGGGCGAGCTGGCCGGCCTGGCTGCCTGGCTGGCGGCAAGCACGCTTCCCTCCCAACCCCAGCTGTTCCCCTTACCCTGACCCTCCCACAGCTGGTCCTCCCTCCCTTCCCTCCTCCCCCTGCTTTGCAAGAATGGAATGAAATGGAGTGACAACGACAACGGACCCGCCTCCCCGTCCCGCGCCCCGAGGGTTTAGTACCGATGTGAGCAGAGGAAGGAAATCATTAGATCGAAAACGCGCCATAAGCTTGGGGCTAATTGGCTAAATTCGACTCTGAATCAAGAGTATGGAGAAACAGTGACGCGCGCGCGAGCACCAACTTTAGCAGAGGGAGAGAGACCGGGAGGAAAAGCAACACAGACAGAGAACGGGGGAGTTTGATTGTGAGAATCCTCGACGAGTTTCTCTGCAGATAAAGTAGAGCGGCGGCGCGCGCGTCAAATTAACTGAATTAATGTTTTTCATTTTTTAATTAATTACCAGGACTGCACACCTTGTGGCCACGGGGCGATCGTAAAGCCAGTGCGCCCGCGCCGGGGCAGAGCCAACTAGCGCAAATAATAATAATAAAAGCAGTGGGGAAGGAGGAGGAGGAAGAAGGCGCGAGAGGGTCGGCAGAAAAAGACACAGAGAGGGGTGGGGGAGGTGGGGTCCTTGACGACACCGCGGCGTCTACCTAAAGGGACACCTGCCGCCTCGCCGGCTGCGCTGCCGGTGCTGCTGACCCCCGCCCCGCCCCGGGCCGGCCTCTCCGGCCCCCGGGCCTTTGACCTTGGCCAGAGTCTGGCCCGCGAGGCCTCCCTGGCCAATCAAAATGGAGCGCGCGTCAAAGGCGGCGCCACGTGCTCCTCCGGGCCGCCGTTTTCGCGCCGAACCCGTCGAATTTGAGGGGCGGCCGCGCCACCGAGCCGAGCCGGGCTCAAGTTGACGGCACTTAAGGTTGCAGTACTAGTAGGGGGAGAGACGGGCCGCACCCCAGAAAGGCAAGCTTAATAGGGGACTTAATTAAGCGAAATCGGGGGTCTGCCTAATCAGGCCCAATCAAGCCTCGTCGCGCGTAATCCCGCGCGCGAGCAGAGAGGCCCAAGACCAGACCAGCGCGCCGCCGCCCACCCCGCCTGGAGCCCCCTGGAGCTGGAGGCCCCCCGCCTGGAGAAGTCCAGTCCAGGGGCAATGTGCTGTGACGCAGCACTGCGCAGCACTACCAGGAGCAACAGCCTTTGCCGCCGCCGCCGCCGCTCACTCCAGCAAGACTATCCAGTGCTGCGCACTATACTCGCGGCTCCAGCAGATCCGGCCGGCTGCGGAGCCGCGCCGCGGAGTGCCAAAGGGCAGGGCACGGCGGCGTCCCAATGGGAAGGGGACACGTGGCCCGGGACCCATTTCCTCCCAACGCGACGCGGCCTGCCGGTGGCATGGCGGCGGCCCGCGCGGCGGTGACGCGGTGCTCGGTACGGCGCGGTACGGGAGGCTCCGCGCTGGGTGTCAGCTGACGGGACAACAAAACAGAGGAGACGCCCGCCCCTTTCCACCCCTTCCTCTCTCAAACTCCCCCTCCCCCTCAGGTAAATGTACGGACAGGTACGCTACACGCACAGGCCTCCGCCGCCGCGCCCGAAAGGGGAAGGAAGCGACACACAATGAATACCTAGCAGCAAGAGGGGAGTCCCCGGACAGGAACATCCACC